GGGGGGGTGCGCCCTGCCCGAGCAGCTGGTGCAGCTGTAGAGAAAGAAGAGAAGTGGTCAGTTCTCCCTGGGGACGCAGAAGATGATGCCCAGCCCTCTCCCCCACCCCGCAACATGAGGGTGACCATGTCCTGCACCCTCAGAGTTGCTGTGCTTGTACAGAGGCCATGGTCAGGATGTCTGGCTCTCCCCGGGACGGGGAGCTGCCCCAAGACCGCACCCATGTCCCTGTGCCATGTATAGTGTGGCCGGGGCAGTGGGGGGGAGGGAGAGGGAGATGTCCCCTGCCTCCGTGTAGAGGGGACATGTGAAGGGAAAGCACCCAGGGAAAGCATCCTGCTGGGCTGGGAGCGTGTCAGGTCTCTTCGCACAAGCATGTGCCTATTGGGCCATGACCCCTGGGTGTCACGCAGCTGGAGCCACCTGCCCAAGGGTGGCATGGCATGTGCTTGCACGTGCACAGGCGTCTGCGTGATCCGTGGAAGGCATGGCCCACGCACGTGGTCTCTGGTCTCCCTCCTGCCTCCGCCCTCCTCCCCCGAACTACTCAATTCAAACTACTTACCCGGTACGGTCTCCCTGGACGACCCTGCCGACTCCTGTGCTGGGACATCCTGCGGTGGCCCGTCCGGTGTGCCCGGGTCAGGGCCCTCCGGTCCCGGCTCGCTGTCCCCCGGGCTGGCACGGACCACCCCGCCCCCCAAGAGTCGGTTGAGGGCAGGGAAGTAGGGGCAGGTGGCAGCCCCTGCTGTGGCGCCACCCCTGGTGGCCCTGGCGTACGCCTGATGCAGCTGCTTGACTTTCAGGTGCACCTGCTCCTGGGTGCGCCTGTGTCCCTTTCGGGCCATGGCGGCTGGTATGCGGCCATAGACAGCCACGTTCCTCCTAGTGCGGAGTTCATGGAGATTGGGGGCCTGCCCCCAAACCTCAATGAGGTCCATGACCTCCGCACTAGTCCAGGAGGCCGCGCACCATCTACGTCCCCTGGCTGGCTCCTGCGTGCTGGGGGACTGGGCGGGGGACTCCCTGGCTCATCCTGGGGCCACTGGGTCAGGGGCAGAGACTGCTGGCAGGGCTGTTTCTGCAGAGTGCCATCTGGCCAGAGTCTACCCCTTTAAGGGCCCGGGACTGGGGGAGAGGAGAGGAGTTTTCCTGGTTGTGCCCAGAGAGGCCACCAGGGGAACCTGGGAAGGGCTAGCCTCCCACTAGTTCGAACTAAATGGCTACACAGCCCTTAGTTCGAACTAGTAAGTTCGAACTAGGCGTTAGTCCTCGTAAAATGAGGTTTACCTAGTTCGAACTAAGCGCTCCGCTAGTTCGAATTAAGTGTAGTGCCTATCAAAGTTAATTCGAACTAACGTCTGTTGGTTCGAATTAACTTTGTAGTGTAGACATACCCTAATATAGCTAAAACAGACTCCCTAATGTAGTGCTGAAAGTTTTTTAAAGACCAATGTCTAGTAGCATTTTACTCTCTTGTCACACTGTATAGGTTCTTGTGCTGTGAGTGAACCACATTCCTATCATCATTGTCATTTATTTTTAGCAATAAAGCTCTTCTGGTTCTTTACTGTAATCTAAATCCATGACTGGTAATTTTCCTTTATGACAGATCTTTATGACAGATCAAAATAATAATTCTTAGATAAAACAGTTTCCCCCATTGTCAATAAACACTCCCTAGATCTAATTCATCCCTGAGGAGGTGAACAATTTGGCAACAATTGTGCAATTATATTTGTTTAATATCTCACCTTCTAGAAAGAGCTGGGATTTTACATGCTAAACTTTAAAGAATGATTTTATTCTCAAAAATTCTCTTGTAATTTTTCTGTTTTACTGAGCTGTAAAACTAGCACCATCTCAGATTTGTGTCTTGCAAATACAGAATCATCAGTTCTGATCTAAAATGACAAAAAAAGGTGAATTTTACACCTGCTAGCATTGCAGAGCCAACACAGCTAAGACTGGGAGAGCACCAGATTCTATTGTACGTTGTGTGTTATCCCTCTTAATTGTTCAGTGAGGATGTTCTACAGCTCACCGAGGTCAAGAGAAAGACCCTTAATGATTTCAGCCAGCATTGAATCAAGTTGGAATTTTCAATGAGTTACATCTATGCAATCTCATAGAAGATACTGGGTTTCACAGGTGTAACTGAAGTCATAGTTGTAGTTCATGGAGTTATAACAGTTGTAATTGAGGATTTGATTTGTCCTGCAGAATCTCTACAGATGCACAGACTTGATTCACAGCCCAAATTGCATTTGGAAAGGTAGCAACTAAAAAAAGAATATAATTTTGCTTCTAAAGGGAGTATGTTTGTATGGAATCCAGTGCAATTTGACAGAAAATTAATCAATTCTGAGTTGTAAGAATAATATTGCACATAAGTTCTAGTTTGTCAGGTTATGATGTCACCACACGTTCTCTGAACATTGTATCACTTCGAAACTTCATTGCTATTATTCAAAGACACACAACAATAGGACAAACCTACTGCACAAAAGCTCTTGTTTCACTTTTATAAAATGTTACTGTATCCATTTCTTAAATGCCTTGGTTTTTCCCTCCCTGATACATGCCAGTGTCAATTTTGGTATGAAGACGCAAGTGCTACAGTTTTTAGAGTCGGGAAGTATTCTGCAGAGTGTAAAACAAAGGAAGCAGTGGCAATCCTCTACAGGCAGTTCAATAAGTTTATCAAGCCTACAGTGCCTCAACAAGAGGAAAGAATTCAGCAGATTACTGACCTCGCTAAACACTTATATGGTGAGGACTCCCTTAAGTTGCCTAGTGATGTGCTGTTGACCAAATGCAAATTGAACAGTTTGAGACAGAAGACAAGGGATTATTTAATTTCTAAATAACATTTATGTGTTACATTGACAGAGGAGAAGATGGTGCTCTAGTGATTTAAGCACAGTCCAGGGAGTCAGAAGCACAAAAGTTTAAGCACAGTTCTGGTGATCTAATTTATTTTATTGTCTCTCCCAGTGACTTTCTGGGTGAACTAGTGCTAGTTACTTTATCTAACAGGATCTAACTAGAGGGAACTCTGGAAACCCCTCTGAAAATCTGGCTTACTGTGGGCTACGTAGAATATACCATAACTACCTGTGCTTAATTATTTGCATAATTGATAAAAGTTTATTAAGTGCCCATGAAAGGTCCATGGAAGCTCAAGAGATTCAAAACCATTTTCAATAGTCACGTAACCGAGGGCCACATTTTTCACTCTACGAATTGTGTATACATGCCAGTTTATGCAAATGAATGCATGTGCATGTGTGGAGGGCATGTTATCAGGAGGTCCTTTAAAATTAGGCCCTGAGTTCCTTAAAAATTCAGTTTTATTAACTTATGGCCCAATTTGTCAGAAAATATCCTTAGAGTAGTAGCTCTTAGAAGACTGGGGAACCTAACTGCACAACTGGCCAGCTTCAAGAAAAGAACAGCCCAGGGCATAAGCCCCAAACCCATTAAAATAAACAGTGGGGCAAATTTATGGGTGGAGAAATAAGTATGATTATGTCATCTATTGGCTTTATTAAGTCACCTAATCATGTGCCATGTAGACTGTGAGTTGCTGTTAGGAGTAGAAGAGCTCATACCTTTTTTCTCAGTGGGGGTGACATAGCATCTCTAGTTCTGGCTGCTTAGTGAAAACTGATAAGCCAAATACAGTAAAACTCCAATGGTCCAGCATCTGATGGTCCGGCACTCCTGATGGTCTGGCACCATCAGGAACCCGGAAGTGCTCCGGGCAGCCGGGCCATTGGAGCTGCTCTGCCCCTAGCTTCCCCGATTCAGCGGCTGAATCTGGGAATCCGGGGGCAGAGCAGCTGGAGTGCTGCCAGGTTGGTCCCATAGCGCTGCCCCTCGGGGCTGTGGGACCAACCCGGCAGCACCCCAGCTGTCCCTGATTCAGCCGCTGCTGATACTGATCAGCGGCTGACTCCAAGAAACCCAAGGCAGAGCTGCTCTGCCCCGGCTTCCTGGAATCAGCCCCTGATCAATTTCAGCAGCAGCTGACTTGGGTACACCTGGGACAGAGCAGCTGGGGTGCTGCCGGGTTGGTCCCCGCAGCGCCAAGGTGCAGCGCTGCGGGGACCAACCC